TAGTGTTTATAACACACTATGATTCCCCATATGTATCAGTGATTACAAGAATTGGATCATAATCATTTGAATTTGCTTCATTCAAAGGTCTGTCCCTAAATGTATTACTAGAGCTACTGAAGCTGTAAACATTTGGATGATCACTAGATGACAGTAAAGAGATAAAGAAAATTGATTATGTGCCATCGAGTAAGTGTCAATTCTTAGCAACCACTTACACAGAATTTTTCTGGAATGATCTTTCCCCACCTTCAGGATTTCCAACAGTGCACCCATCACTGCTTTAAACAAGTTCATCCACCATGCTGTTGGTCATCCTCTTCACTTTCCTTCCATCTTTCCCAGCATTATAGACTTCTCCAGAGATCTAGGTCTTCACACAATGTGCCCAAATTATGATAATTTGAGCCTGGTCATTTATGCCTCAAGTAAGAACTTTGGATTGATTTGTTTTATGGTCCTTTTTTAAAAATTTCCTGGCTATCCATGGAAATCTCAAGAATCTTTTCCACCATCAAAATTCAAACTTGTCAAAATTCTTTCTATCCTATTTCTTCATAGTCCAACTTTCACTTCTATAGACTGTCACAGGGAAAACCATTGCCTGCATGAGCCTGATTTCATAGGTATAGATATACCATGGCAACTGAATATCTTTTCCAAGGTCTTCATTGCTACCCTACACGGTTGGCAGCTCCTGGTTTGGAAATGGCACTTATTGCTTTAGGAACTCCATGACCAACAAGTATTTTGAAAAAGAATTATTGTATTTATCTGAATGGACAACTAGTTTTTGTCACAGGCAATTTACCTTTTAAATGGGAGAATCACCTTAGATTTGCTTTTTTGCGGGGGAGTGATACTTTAGAGATTTAGAGATACTTCTGTGGCCAAGTTTTTACCTCTGCCGTCCCTGTCCCTGTCCTGCTAGAACAAGGAGGATTCCAGGTGAAGCAGGAAGCATAAGCAAACAGGTTGCTTCAGAACTAGTGCTGCCATCTTGAGGCCCCTGAATTGCTGAAAGAATAAGCATTGGAACAAATTCTGACAACCCTACAAAGGTTTAACTGTAACCCTCATGAGCTGAGGGAAAGATCTACGATATAATCTAATGGTATGACAAAGGTTAAAACAAATGTGTAAACATAACATTAGAAATGCCAACCATATACAGACTGAACTTTCTTTTTTCTTTTTTCAATATTAGCATTTGTCATATTAGCATGCCTAAGGCTGTCACCAGAAGCTATCTTCTTTCACCTAAATATTAATAATACTGCCTAACAATATTGAAATAATGTAAGAAAAAAGATTTAAAGTTCGGTAAATTATTCAAAAAGACAATTGACAGCCGTAGCATTAGTCAAGCAAACAGATCAGCAACATATTTCAGGGTCACCAATTCATTTTAAAATATATGCATATAAATATTTTGAAAACTGGTGGTTGTAATTTAGCACTCTGAACATGCTATCTTGAAATATTCGGAGAGAGGAAAAGAACTAGGATTCAGAGTATTGTGGAAACCTTAGTACAGGTTTCTGAAGACTATTCAGTGGAATACTTTGGTGTAGTGGTTAAGGCACCAGGCTAGAAAATGGGAGAGTGTGAGTTCTAGTCCTGCCTCAGGCACATAGCCAGCTGGGTGACCTTGGGCCAGTCACTCTCTCTCAGCCCTAGGAGGAGGTAACGGCAAACCACTTCCAAAATCTTGCCAAGAAAACTGCAGGGACTTGCCCAGGCAGTCACCAGGAGTCAACACTGACTCAAAGGCAGGCAGGCATGCGTGCGTGCGCACATGCACACGCACACACACACACCAACACAGAGTTTCCTGAAGTGTATATCTTTTTTTCCCCAATGCACTTGTTCAGCATGTTGCAGCCAAGGAGGTATTCCCCATGACATACCTTTCTTCTACTGAAACTTCCTTTAATTGTTGGTGCGGCTTGGTGCCCTCCATCTCTCGGATGCTCACTGCATAGATCTTTGTAGTGTAATCAATTGCTTTTTCTCGTGCAACATCACTGTCATAACCTTCGATGCATGCGAAATAGAACATAATACTTGTTTAAGAGTTTCCAATTTTTCAATGTGGAAATTATATGTAAATCACTTAAATATAAATTATGGTATCCAGAGCCAGCGTTATGACAGCTTTAAAATAATACATTTGTAGAGAAAGTGATTTCTTTAAAAAATAATCTTGCTTTCTAGATTTCTTTTGACTACATTGCCTATATAGTAAAAGTTAGTTTTACATGTATATCTTCTTCCTTTAATTTTTTTCCATGATCTTATTTGCTTGTAAGTGAGATTTTCTTTTATTTACTGTTGCAGTATCAAGTAATATATAACTGTTTTTAAAGAAACAGGAAAATTACAGTGAAGTAACGAAATTCAATACTCGTGCTAGACAACTGAGAAAAATATTTAAATTGAAAGAACCTGGGATATTCCCAAATATTGAGAAATTTGGAAGAAAATGGTATGCTCCTTGTAATAAAATCTTCTTCCATATACACCTTTGCCAACTCTGTAGTTCTGAGATAGGCAATATTTTGTCTACAGTTATCAGTAGAACCCCAGTTATATCTCCTGGCACTCATCAGCCCTCTCAGTCTCATCTGTTCATTTAAAAATATTCATTTAATAAAGAAAATTCAGCATGAAGCTGGCATATTTGAAACATTGGCTTCTAGCATCATATTTATTTGTAGGAATGCCTTTGGGCCCCACAAAAGTCTTTCCCTGGCATGGTACAGAACATGCTGGGATGCTAGTCCAACTACAAATAAACAGGTGGTTTTTTACTGCCATGCACACCACAGCAGCCATTTGTAAATAGGCAAATTCCCATGGCAGCTCCTTTATGCATGTGGCTACCACATCCTCTCAAAATTAAAAATATACTCCTGACTCAGACAAGCAGCCTACCCCTGTTCTGCATCATCTATTATATCTACTGTTAATCAATTATTGTTACATGTTTGCAGAAAAGGGTACAGTAATGTAGTTATATTCCTCAAATAATAGTTTATGAGAAAACATTAGAAAAATAGGATTCTTTCATGTATTATATGAATCAGTCTAAATGCTGCTAATGTAATTTTGCATAAGATAAAAAAACACTCTAGTTGTTCAGCAGGCCTCCTGCGTAGAATGATTTTCATAAACAAAAGGAAGGCCACAGAGCCCTTTACCTCCATCCTCTTCTGCATCAGTATCTGATTCCTCACTGTCAACTAGCTTGCTTTCCTGGGTTCCAACAAATTCTCGGGTCCAGATCATCAGGGCAGTATCAGCACCACCCACAGTCAACAGCACAGAATCATTGTGTAACCACCGGACATTGGTGACATGGGAACTATGACCCACATATTTCTTAAACTTGGCATGCTGACCCTATAATGCAAGCAAAACACGTCAGTGATCTCCTCTTCCTGATATGCATTCTGTTTCTAAGAAATGTCAGGGGTGCCGTTGCTAAGTTTAAAGTAAGGATGCACAAGGCATTAACACTTCAATGGATTTGGGTTGCTCA